TGAACCGCTAGCTATTTGCACAGCTAGTGATTCAGTGCGCCTAGTAATAAACACAATGCATAACTAGCAATCCCGGAGGTAAGGGTCACAGGTAAGGTAAAGTGATGAAACCTGTGACTCTTTCATCTAAGGATGGGGGTGGCCATGAACATGGCTGAATAGGGAGATGGGACATATTCATTTGTCATTGCCCTTCTCTGGGTCCTCACACCTACATAAAAAGGGGCTTGGGCTGGAAGACCTCTAGGGATAACAGCTTGAAGTTTTATGGCTGCTGTGAAGGTGTGGGTGGCCAGAGGGGGCCAGCAGGTGGTGAGGTTACCAAAACCCTGCCCAGGAATCAAGTCCATCTTGGTGAAGAGAAGGTGGAACACTGAAATTGAAGGGGACGTGGGTCTTCATACTAGGGCAGTGCCTATTTGTGTGGCATCTGAGTCCAGCTAAGAAAAAAACCTTTGAGTATCATTTATTTTGGTCAGAATGCTGGCATCCAGGAACCGCCCTACGCCCTGATTTCCTCCTGACTTTCTTGCCTTGTCGCTTTTCCCCGGAACAGTCTCTCCTCTAGTCATGCTGGCCTGGGGTGCCTGCCTTGCTCCAGTTTGGGGTCCATCAAGCTCCAAGCTCCCTTCACCCTGTCCTGTCCACCTAGGAGGAGCCTGCCTCCCGGGCCCCTAAGACTGCATCTCACACCAGCCTTCTCGGGACCCCCTCTTCCTTCTTGCTGATGGACTTGTCAAAGCTAGAGTCTGTGTGCTTTCCTGGCGCTTTTCCTTCTCGTCCATTTGATCACTGAAATGACCTGGGAGATGGGCACATGGTCCCTGTGTTTACCCTCCGATCAAGGAAACTGGTCCTGGATGGGGACCTGGCTCCTTATTGAAGACTCTCCATGAATCCTGCTGGACCAGGAGCTCCTGGAGGGCACGGAGCTCTTCTTTCTGTCTGTGGCTTCCTCCTTCCCCAGCTCAGACAGGAAGGGTCTAGCCTAGGTCAGAGGCCCTTTGTTTCCTTTTTTGTTGTAGGAGTGAGTCAGCCAAGGGATGAATTCCCTTTTTCTTCCTGCGTGGGGTGGGTGGGGGGAAATGTTTTTCCATCCCGTTTGTACAAAATCCTGGGATGCCAGGGGC